AATGCTGAGAAAGATTGAGGGCAATAGAAGAAGGGGACGGCGGGGAATGAGGTGGCTGGATGGAGTCACTAAAGCAGTAGGCATAAGTTTAAATGGACTTTGGAGGATGGTAGAGGAAAGAAAGGCCTGGAGGAACATTGTCCATGGTGTCACGATCGGGCACAACTTCACAACTAACAACAACAACAGCAGCAACTGTATACATATTATTTGAAAGCACCTGTCTAGGCTTTTCTTTTTTAAAAAAATGTATATATGGTGTTCTTTGTATATAACAACATCAACAACTGAATCTGAAGCCATGAATTAATTTTTTAAGATTATATGTGCATTTCATTGCTAAACACAAGTAATCCTGATTCTCAAGGATCTGGGATGATAAGAATTGGTTTTCAAAGGTCTGGGATGATAAGAGCCTTGGTGCAATGGTTAGAATGCAGTATTGCAGGCTACCTCACTGCTCACCGCCAGGAGTTCAATTCTGACTAGCTCAAGTTCGACTCAGCCTTCCATTCTTCCAGGGTTGATAAAAGGGGGATCCAGATTGTTGGGGCCTGACTCTGAAGATGATGAATGAGACTTCATCGAAACGTTGCCTAGATACTTCGAATCTTACGCGGGAGAAAACCCGAACAACCAAAGATCCACATACAAATACCCGCGAGAACCTCAGAAAACAAATATATATATATATATATATATTGTTGCCCTCAACTAGATTAGTAGAACTATATATATATATAATGTTGCCCTTCAACGGTTGGATAGTCTAGAGTCTAGACCAGTGGTGTCAAACTCACGTCATCACAGCAATGTCAATATTGGGACTTTTTTCCCCTTCACTAAATTAGCCGTGGGCAAGGCCTGCATGTGATGCATCTGACCCTCAGACCACAAGTTTGAGAGCCCTGGTCTAGACATTGATATTTCAACATAGATACTTTTAATATTTATATTTTATTGGGTTCTACTAATCTAGTTGAAATGTTAATATATATTATTAGTCCATGTATGATAGAGATGTTGTGATGTGTCACAATGGTTTCTGCCTTTGCGGAGCTGGGGTGGGCATGGCTTGCACGGCTCATATCTACCCTGTGGGCTGCCAATTTGACATGCCTGATATGATATGCCATACACTAAATAAATAAATATATATACAAAGACTTAAAAAATGAAATATTCAAGAGCATTTTGCCCTGCTTAAAATCTTGTTTCAATAAATACATTATGTACTTTAATATCAACTATCAATATGTGTTGCTGAAAAAATATAGCAAAGACAATTGATAAGTTAGGCTGTTAGATACAAGAAGTGAAACCCATAGCATACACACCCTCAAAACCAACTGATCTGAAGCCCTCAATAGTGGTGGATGAAGAGAATTAAGGGAAGGGTGAATTGTTTCTCCACATTGCTGACAGGAGTGATAATGCTAATGATTTTATTTTCATGCCATTCTTTATCTTGTAGGAGCCCATGGCTAGAACAGCATCACGGACTAGAAGGATAAAAGATCTCTCACAGAGAACCTCTAAATCTCTTCTTGTCTATCTCATCCTTAGGACAGACTTTAAATGGCACCACAATGAGTTAACTATTGACTACTGACAGAGCTTCGCAAGTGCCAATGAAAAGGTCAGCCTTTTCATTTGTGCTTGTTTTATGTGATGTGATGAATAAAAAGTGAGTCAAGTCCCCTTCAAATAGAGGTCAACTCCTAGTGAATACAAAATATACTGTATCTTTGTGGAAGTAGCTTGTCATTGCCTCTTCTAAGAACCTTTTTCAACCTTCCAATCCAGCCTACAACTCTTGGATTCCCAACTGGTTTTTGATTCAAGTCTTGACCTTGACAAGTTGGCCAGATAATGCTGCCTCTTAAGGCAAAATACCAAATAACACATTTGATTTGCTTTCTGTGGGTTCTCAGACATTGCTTTGGCATTTGCCACTCTGGTTTTTTCCCCTTCTCCACTCCTTTTAATATAATATAAAATAGGGTTTGTTTATATTTGGCCAGTTAATTGTCTCCAGAAAACAAATCAGCAATAGTCCATTTAAAAACTGGCCTGTGCTTAGCTCCAAGGGCCCTATGGATTTTTGGGAGGGAACTACATGGATTATCTAAGAAATGGCATATTATAGGTTCTTTGGTAATAGTGACATCTAGCCATGAAAGTCAACAAAACAATACTTAAAAAGCAGTTTGAGAGTAGAATCTCAGAAGTCAGAATTAGGCTTACTCCAAATCTATGATTTATGCACTGATACATCAAACATAAGACTACCTGTGTACATGTGTGTGTGAATGCCAAGTATAGTTTGCTTCATCTTTCTTCAGACGTAAAGAAAGTGAATGTATTTCACAGCTGATCCCCAGAGTGCATGTTTCAGGCTGTAATGATGATACCTAATGAGAAAAAATAGGAAATTTGCAAAAGTATCATTTGAACCTATATAGATAACTGGTAACTGTTCAGAGATGTATCGTGGCTATGCCTATTAGAACTCTTATAACATCAACTGGAATTCCATTATTGGCAAGCAAGTACCAGAAAAAGAATGCAGAAAATGTAAACAGGAAATTGCCATGAATAAGTGAGCATGAGAAAAAGGTTAGAGCTCTTCATATAGGATGAAGCATGAGAAAAGAACATGCTCGATTTAAAGTAGGAATGAATATAAATTCTCTATCAGCCTCCCACCCTTTCAGTGACTGTCAACTGTATATAATGGCTCTACTTAAATATTATAATAAAGATTTACTTCATAGTTAAATGTGTTCAAGTTTTTAAGAAGCCTTTAGTCTTATTGCATTAGTTTGCAGGAATCTTACAATTGGACACTTTCAATTGGACACTTTGGACACTTTGGGGGGAGGGATTATTTGGCTTTAGGCTCAAATCTTGCCACAGGAGCCTCATTTGGGGGGAGGGATTATTACATTTCAATTTTCCCCCAGGTAAATCTTTATCAAATTTATATGATCATCCTTCCAATCAGTGACATTCTGGATAGCAGATGGATAAAATCACAATTGGTAATCCAAATCAATTCAAATATTAAGTCAGAGCCCTTATAAAGAATCTCATTGCCAACAAGTCACATGCACAAATGCCAGAGTTCCATTAACTTCCCTGACCTAATTCCTAAGCCACATCTTTGATGCCTTTCAGAAGATCAACAGAGCTACCATACTTGTGGAAGGAGGCTGTTCAATAAGACAGACACAATGACGGAGAAAGCATACTTCTTGAGACCCACCTGGAAGTCCTTCCTTCACTGAAGGGACCTGGAGCATTCTCACACTGTCAGATGTGGAAGGACTCCAGAATACATGTCAAAAACAGTATAATGTTTGTAAAAATAAAGCCACATTATAACTCTAAGTAAATAAAATTACCATTGTTAAAATGATGGATACATCTTTGAATAAGTACCTCCTCATTTGGTCTAATTAGTTGAAGTTCTCTAAATTGTTTTGTAAAGTTTAACTTAGGGTGGCAAAAGTTATGGATGTTTGTGGTTGAAGGCTCATTAATTAATTAAGCTAAAGCTATGAAGTGGAAAAACATGGTGCAAGACTAACACCATGATCAAATATTGCCCCCATTATATTTGCAATTAATTGTTTAGACAGCAAGACAGCAACTTATGGACTGCTTTTTACCTTTCCCATCCCCTCTCTCTTTCTCTCTCTCTTTCTCTTTGAACAAAGCAAATGTCAGATGCAGGTAATGAGAAATTTTCTAATACTTAATAACAACAGGCAAGAGGTTTTCCTCACTCTTAATATCCCTGATGATTATCCTGAGAGTTTTCAGAGGAGCATCTATGTTTGTTGCAGCAAAAATCAAAGAAAAGTTTGCAACATATAAAAAGATGGCTCTCTTTCTTCTCCTTAATTTGTAAAACTCGTCTCTCCTTTAAAGCCACCAAATCTTTGGAAAAGTTAAGAGAGTATTGCACCATTTTTAAAATGTGTTATTAATACATTAGTAATTAGGGGATGTTTGGTACAGAAGGAGAGAGAGAAGAAGATGGGGAGAGAGGGAGAGAGACAGAATTCAACATTATAAACATTACAGGTTTTGAAAGGAAAAAAAAGATCCACTAGACTACTCTTTATGAACCTTTGAACATTAACAATCAATTTATATAATCATTTTCCCTCCAAGAACTGACATTTCTTTAAAAAAAATACAAGGACTTATGCAAATAGAAATGGATTGTTTTAAGTGTCTTGGATATATTTTTGTCCCAGTATGAAACATGTAAATGTCCTTACTTCATGAACTTCAATTGGCTCATCCATCTAACAATATTTTCCTGTGACCAGTAGCAATAAGTCTCCGGGTTTAGTGCTTCGAACTCAACATCCATAGCAAGCTCTGATAACATCAAAATGTGGGCACACATATCCTATCATCAGGGAAGTAATAAAATTACATAATGATGTAGAGGTATCTGAAATTAGTATATACACTGCATTGTTTTCCAGATGACATGATGTGCGTCATTATTGGTCACCATGTTCTCTCTCCCAAGGATGCTAATACAGTCATCCTTCTACCCATGCTCCATTCACCCTATGAAATCTGTACATAGTGAAATATTTTCTCTCAGTATAAAGGTACACTGATCTCCTTTTACACATTTAACCTGCAGTCTCAAAAAGGTCCCATAACATTATTTGATTATTCTGTAACTTTAAGGCTGATCCTTGCAAATACATTTTTGTGTTAGAAGTAATAGTCTGTCAGTATCTTGATTACTTTTTTATGCTGATACACCAATATGGCTGCAAACATTTTACTGGATACTCTATTTTTTAGACTATTTTTCATTATAAAATCATGACCTATCATGTTTTAAGATCATAGGTCCGAACCAGGAGAGAAAGAAAAATTAATCAGTGTAGCATAACTCCTAATTTTTAACTCCTTTTGAATTGGCTGAAGGCTTACTGAGATATTATCTGTCTATCTTTTGAAAGTATTCTATTGTGATTTTACAATATACCTCTTAGCTTTTCTTCATCATCAGTTGCCACACTGAGTCTCTTTACAAAAATTATTTTCATCTTGTTTTGGTTCCTCTGCTTCCTTACCAAACATTGCCTGAGTCAGATTCCAAAGAAGATGAGAGTGGAGGGAGGGAGAGAGGGAGGGAGGATGTGCTTTTGTTTCTTTCAAGAGTTTTTTTTTCATATTACTATTATTATTCTATTTCACATTTCTAGTTGCTGGATGCACTGCATTTTGTACTCACATACACACAGCATCACAGATCCAGACAGATCCATTGCCCCAGATGTCATGTTTTGACTTAACTTCGTAAATAGGTTCAAAGAATCCTGGATTTTGAAACAATAAGTTTCAATTGCAAAGAGAACTGGCACAAATCTTCTAAAGCTAGATGTTCATGTTCGGTGTATAAAAGCATCCTTTCTAGAAAAGAATCTGGATGAGCAATTCACTATTACAGATATTTGAAGGGTTGCACCTTGTAGAGCAGGGCTGTCAAACTCATGGCCTGCATGAGTGATGCGCTGGCCACATCCATGCCTGGTTTAGCGAAGTCCCAATATATCACATGATGCTGCCGTGACACTGCAAGTTTGACACCCCCTGTTGTAGAGGATTCATATTTATTTTTAGTTGCTCCAGAGGGAAAGACTAGAAACTTCAAAAATATAAATACAGACTAACTATTAGGAAGAACTTATTAAGAGTAAGAGCAAGAATCACCCATAGGGAATGGTTTCTTCTCCTTTATTGAAGGTTTTTTAAGCCCAGACTTGGTGATGTATATCATGTGGTAATTCTGCACTGCTCAGTGGTTGGATCTGATGTCCTTTTAGGTATCTTCCAACTCTAAGATTCATGCCCTGTGATCTTCATTCTTTATCCTTAGATTGAAACTCTAAGTTTTGTTTCTCTTCCCTTGACAATAGTCTGTGATTTCTTAGCATTCATTAACTTAGTAATGTCTTTTGACATTTCTTAAATGAATACAAAGATAAAACCAGAAACTTTTCTTTGGGGTTTAATGGAAAATGACTTGGAAATTTTTTTTGAAATGTTGATATGTGTTGAAGGTAGCAAGATTACTTTATGCATAAAAATGGAAGGATCCTTAGATCCCCACAATGGACAAAAGGCTGCAAAAGTTGATGGAGTTAACAGAGATGCCCAAAATGGACTGCTTTGATTAAAAAAAAACATACTTATTTTTGTTTCTACTTGGAAACCACTTCTGGACTTTGTGCTTGAGGTGGAAAAAAATGAAACTTTGATTTTGGATTTTACCGATTAGATAGATTTGTTAATACAGAAATGACTACTTTATACTATTATGTAAAAGTAATATTACTATCTTATTCTACTGCACCAAAGAAAGTCAGAGGTCAATGCCTTTTCTTTCTTTTTCCCTTCTTTTCTACACTCTTCCCTTTTCCCTCCCCTATATTTCTTATTATTTATTTTTGTATTTTATATTATATTTATATTATAAACAAAAAGGGCTATTTGAAAGACATCAAGAACCTAATTTACCTATACTAATTTACCTATATTTTTATAAAGCTTGCTTTATATTCAGTAAAACAAAATGCAGCTAATTCCATTGTAAATTAAAAAATAAACCAGACAGGGGTGACATGAGAGCAAACAATTCCAGTATTTGAGGGGCTGCCACAAAGAAGAGCAGAACAACTTATTTTCCAAAGCACCAGAAGGCAAGAGAAGAAACAATGGATAGAAACTAATCAAGGAGAGAAGCAACATAGAAATAAGGATAAATTTCCTAGCAGTGAGAATAATTAACCAGCAAATTAGAAACAACTTCTTCAGTAGTAAATTGTTCTTTATGAAACTTTTCTTCTTCTTCAGCCCTGATTCTTGCATAATCCCATCATTTTCACAATCTATGACCTCATACAACAGATACATAAATGATGCAGAGTGCATGTCATATGACAAATAGTTTTTAAATTGCCTCAGGAATTGCCTTCTTGTTTCACCTTTGTCTGTAAGCCCACATTTTCCACAATCTTCCAATGTGATCCCACTCTGATCATAATATAAAGTATGCCATCCAAATAAAATTAAATAAAATATAAAACAAAATAAACATAGAATCTGAAAAATACAATCTCTAGCCCTTACTTGCTTTTGAAAATAAATTTCCTGCTGATTTCATTATGTCACTATGTGCTACCTAAGCTTTAAGCCACACAGACCAATACAAGGATACAGAGCAGCTCCATACCACCATCTAGAGAACAGAGGGAGTGACTTGACACAAAACCAACATCTTTTCAAGGGTTCATTCAGAGGAAGAGAGACATTTTTCCATTCCATTTCAATAGTTCGTGTTGATTTAAATTAACAATCTGAATACTTCTCCCTAACATAAATGCATGCATTTTGATGATAGATTAATGAGAGACATTTGGTGATTGTGTTCTTGATCAGCAGGCACATTTCTGTTCATTGTTTTCAAGAAATTTGGAGGAAGGGAGGTTCTTATCTAACCAAATAATAAAATGGATTTTCTCCTGCCATAATTTTAGTTATTTCGCCAATTATCTCTCCCTCAAATTGTACAATACAAATGTCAACTCTATTTTTTTAAAGCAAGTACAAATACTGTTTCAGACCAATTATATGCATAATCCATTCTAGGCACTTACAGAAATGGGTCCTATTTGCTTATTTAAAATGCCAGGTGGCCCTCAACTGTACTTAATATTTAGAGAGCAAGGTAACTATGACATTCCACAGAAGTAGTCAGTATAAGTTTTCTAGCAGCAAACTTAAGCCGGTAAAAGATTTATAGTTGCTATAATAGACTAAAATGCCTAATGCAAAAAAAAAAAAAATCAGCAATGCCACATAGGTACTGTAATATTGTTTTGCCAAAATATCAGGGATATTTAGGTGAAGAAGGAATCAATGAAAAAACAGAGAACTTAGAAGATGACATTCAGAAGTTGACATTATTCCAAACTCCAACAATATTCCTGCCACTTGTTTTATTCAAGTCATCCACAACCTTTCAAAACAATGCTATGTGAATGTTTTTGCTAAGTTTGGATTTTTGCAGCTTTTTTTTATTCTTTCTTTTCCAGAATAGCCTATATTGCTATTATAGGGCACAATTTATAAATTAGACACTACTTTAGAGAAATGTTCTCCTTACACTGCATGTTATTAGAAAAGAAGTAGCTGGTATTCCTAAGTAATGGCAATGTTACTATTAATATTAGCAGATTTTAATAAAAGACAAACTAAAAAGGTTCTGTGTAATACAGGCTCAATACCAATATAAATTTTGTATTACTTTCCATATCACATGTACCAATTTTGAACTTTACAACTGGAATAAAATTGCATATTATGTCAATATACTGTATCTACATAATCAAATATAAAAACACTAGCATTTTATGGACACTATCATTGTTGAATTTATAGAATAGGATGGAGCAAAACCATATGCTAATATTCACATTAAGTAGGCTTCACAATAATTTTGATTAATGTGATTTAATGGCACCATTTGTATTAATCAATACTCTCACTCCACATGCTGTCTATACAACAACTGCAGCACAATTACAAAGGAAAATATATGGAGCACAGGATGTAAACACTTCTTATTTGTTCAGTATCTTTCTGCTCCCATACCATGCCAAAGAATCTAGCCTTTATTGCTAGAGAAAGTGATCATGTATTGCCAGATTCTTGGTGTTCTTTTGGAATATCTAGGATTTCCTGAAGTTCAATAAACCAGAAAAACAGTTCCAATAGACCAACTCCTGAGTGAACAATCCTTGGCTAATATTCCCAAGTTAGAATTTCAGAAAAGATTCCATGCTGCCTTAAATAAATCTGTGTCTTTATGGCACATGAGTATATCTACAGCTTAATATTTCTACCCTGCCAATGAGGCTATAGTATGTAGCCCTGCAAATAATTTTAACTCTTTTTTCTCATCCATTCCTATGAAAACTATATATTATTGCTGTTGTTTCAGTTCTAAGAAATCCTAAGCTGCATTTAAATCCATGTTTTATTCTTTGGTTCATTTCCTCCCCCTGCCCCTTGTTGGATAAAATGTCCAGTGTATGGTGTTTCAACTGAGCCATCAAGTATCTATGTGAGGATCCTTTCCTTTTGCATTTTCAAGATGTAACAATTATGACAGCTCTTACAATTAATAGTAGCCTAACAAGCCATTTAAAATTCAAAGTTCAATATGTCGGAGCAAAGAGGGGTAAACATGAAAGAACATGAAGAGTGTTGCTCTTCTTCCTTCTCCCTTCTCCCTTCACTTACTCTTTTTTTTAAGATATCTTATTTTACCTCAGCTATAACAGCCTCTTTCTTTTCTGTGGTGTCCATTTTTATTATGTCTTTTCCGCAAAGAGTTGCCTAAAGCTACTGGGGACGGGGTCTTGAAATGTGTGGAAATGTATGCAGTGGCTAAGCAGTAAAATGAAAGAATTTTGACAATATGTGATTACACATTAAATGACGCAATTTTGGGGTCAGCACTATGGAAAGCACTTATGAAGAGGCTGACAAGTGTAGATGGATGGGGAAGGAATAAGGGCAGTTACAGCATTTAATGGACATTTGCCTTCCCTGATATCCACAGACTCTGCTACCATCTGCTGGTTTTCAAAAAACAGCAGAGACTATATGTGAGTTGATGTGCATAATTTTCCAGCTGCCTCTCATTATATGAGCAGCCCTCATTCCAGGTCACATCATCGTATCTCCAGATTCTCTAGATTTGTCAATTAGCCCCCTTTTTGCACACAGATGCATTTTCGGCAGCATGAATCAGGAAGAAGCACAAAAGAAGTAGACAACAGCAGATTAAATTAACCTTATAACACACCCTTCCTTTCCAAAATGCGGAGTTTGTCATTTTGGTTTTATTAAGTATTGAATCAACATGATTAACTAGCAATGATTCCCAGGGCATGGTTTGAA